GCTATGACGTGTACTCGACCTGATGTAGCCTTTGCTTTGAGCATGGTTAGCAGGTATCAGGGGAACCCTGGCAAGGCACACTGGACTGCGGTAAAGAATATCCTCAAGTACCTACGGAGGACTAAGGACTGGGTCCTTACCCTCGGTGGCAGTGAGGACTTGAGAGTTGTAGGGTACAGTGATGCTAGCTTTCAGACTGACAGGGATAATTTCCGCTCTCAGTCGGGCTGGGTCTTTACTCTAAACGGAGGGGCAATTACTTGGAAAAGTTCCAAGCAGGAGACAGTGGCTGATTCCACTTGTGAATCAGAGTATATAGCAGCAAGCGAGGCAGCAAAGGAGGCTATATGGCTAAAGAACTTCATCGGAGACCTTGGAGTTGTACCAGCTATAAAGGAGCCAATGGAGATTTTCTGTGACAGCAATAGTGCGGTTGCCTTAGCCAAGGAACCAAGAGATCATGGGAGATCCAGACACATTGACAGAAAATATCACTTCATCAGACATCGAAGAAGAAGGAATCCTCGTGGCAAAGAGGGTATCATCGGATGAGAACCCAGCAGATCCCCTCACGAAGGGACTGACTCGGGCTAAGCATCTCCAGCATGCTCGGAGCATAGGGCTGAAGGATGATATTAGTTTTAGTAGTTAGATAATCTTGAAATTTGTAAAATGTAATTGACATTTGATGATAAATAAAAGCTGTTATTTATGAGTAAAGTGTTGCTATCTCTTGTCAATCGTTTACTATTATTTCTTTTTGCATGTTTTGACTTCCAGAATAATTATGTTATGGTTTATATCATATTATTCAAACTCTCCACAGTCGGTCATATGTTGGAAGTAGATATGAATCAAGACTGTCATGGGTTGGCTTGTAGAGGTCTAAGATGTTAGACAAAGCGGGGCTACAACACTCATGAGTGCTCATAAGTTCTGAGTATTGGATTCAACCCACGCTCACTTGTATCACTTCATGGAATTTATCTCGAGTGATCGTGAGACGGTAATATCATATAAGTCTTCAAACCTAGAGATATGATTTGTTGCCTATGAGTTGGTTATGCATTGATTGCACGAAAACGCATTGGTAACTCGATGTTATAAACCGTGCTTTTGTGTGTAATTCAACAAGTAGTAGAGCAAACATATGAGTCGAAGTTTATCTGTTCCTTCTAGGATTAGAAGCGATATCTGGGCCCCTCGATGATTTTGTTTTGACCTATGTACCGGGCCCGGTCAGAACTAAATTGATGTGTTCAGTTAAGTTCTATGTCAAACAAATCGGAAATCGGGAAACAAATGCTGGACAATAAGCAAGACCATGTTCCATGTATTTGTCCGGCTGATATCTAGAACAGAGGATTATATGATCACTTTTCTAAAATGGCGCTTCATAGTTCAACAGAGTTTAAAGAGCTACGATTGCTGATCGGTTCCTGAAGTCATACTTGCAACTATAGTTATTAGACTTATCCAAGTGGGAGACTGTTGGATATAGTGTCTAAGTCCATAACTATATTTGGTATGTACTTGACCCGACCCGGCATGGTCCATTTGGGTTGCACTTCACCCGAACAATTTACGGATAATCTTTGAGAATAGTATAAGTTATGATTTATTAATATATTATAAGTTCTAATATATTAATATAAAATCATATTTTTTAATTAGTGTTGATCTATAATTAATTTAGAATTAATTTAGAGATCAAAAGTATGACTAATTAAATATGGGCTCTTGTATTTATATAGTGTGGGCTAATGCTTATTTGGAATGGGCTAGGCTTGCATGGAAAGTCCATGGATACTCCATGGAGCTTTAACCCATGGATCTCATGGAAATGAAAAGACATGGGTATTAGGGTTTACATGGATGTAACCCTAATCCACCACACTATATAAAGGAGGCTTTGGTTCTTGAATTGCACTAGTTGATGTGAGTAAACTAAGAGGGGCCGATTTCAAGAAGGTTGTGACTATTCTCTCAAGTTTCCAAGTTTGTGGTGATTTGTGACTTCCATTTGAGGCATCCACATTATTGGTGCTAGGCTCTCAAACTCCAAGCAATCAACTACAACTACAAGGTAAGTAATTCTACTAGCTTTATTTGATTCAAGTACCCCATGCCATGCTAGTTAGGATAAGAACCTTGGAAAAATAATTATTTGCATGTATCTTAGTCAAACATAGATCCAAGGTTTCTAGGGTTGCATGTACACCATAGGAGTGTTAGAATGCTCTGAAACCCATCAGTTTTATGGTTCTACTCTGTTTGTGGATACTTCTAGAAGAGCTCTGAATTTAGAGGCTTAATGTCATCTTCATCACTTTCAACCTCCCATGAGGATCAAATTATTCAAAGGTTGTTATGTTTTCTCTTCCTGATTGTTTTAATCTTTCTAAGTCTTGCAAAAGAGCCTTGGTGGGTTCAAATGGTTTTAGTTATTCAACAATTTTAAAGCTTCCGTTGCCGTTTTTAAAACGTTTGGTGAAACCAGATTTTTGAATAAAACTCAACATATTCTGGAGTAGTGACTCGTTCAACACCAAGAATGAATGTCTATACCAATCTTTTCCCTATCCGTGATAGAGCCCAAAAGAATCAAAGAGGCTTTACAAGATGCAAATTGGGTAAAAGCAATGCAAGAAGAGTTAGCTGAATTTGAACGCAACAATGTGTGGGACTTAGTGCCAACACCAGAAGGAGTATCAGTTGTTGGTTCAAGATGGGTCTATAGAAACAGAGTGATGAAGATGGATGTCATCATTAGGACAAAGCTAGACTGGTTGTCAAATGCTACTCACAACGAAGGCATAGACTACGATGAAACCTTTGGAACCTATTGCAAGAATAGAAGCCATCAAGATTTTCTTGGCATTTGCTACACACAAGAACTTTAAGGTTTACCAAATGGATGTGCAGTGTGCATCTTGAACGGAGAAATCGATAGGGATGTCTATGTTCAACAACCTCTTGGATTCGAAGATCCAAAGTTCCCTAACCATTGCTATAAGCTTCAAAGGCTGTCTATGGATTGAGCAAGCTCCAGGAGCATGGTATGGAAAATTTTCCAAATTTTTCGAAGATTCCAAATTTCAAATAGGTTTTATCGATCCCCTATCTTTAGGAAAATCCACACAACATCTGATCATCGTACAAATATATGGTCGACGACATCATATTCGGTTCAACCAGCATGGACCTTAGTGATGAGTTTGCTGAGTTGATGAAAAGCAAATTTAGAACGAGTATAATGGGTGAGCTGAATTATTTCCTTAGTCTACAAGTTCGTCAATCTCCTAAGGGAATCTTTATTGTTAAGATAAGTATTAAAAAACCTGTTGAAGAGATATTCCATGGAGAACGCATCAACTGTAAAGACAACCGATTTCTACATCCTACAAGCTTGATTCAGACCTTGATGGGAAATCTGTAGACCAGAAGCACTACAGAGGAATGATTAGCTCATTATTGTACCTTACGACTAGTCGATCAGACATCATGTTTTCAACATGTCTGTATGCACGCTTTCAGCCAATCCAAAGGAATCACATCTCGTGGCAGTCAAAAGAATTTTCAAATATCTAAAGGGAACTGCTTCTCTAGGTCTATTTTATCCTGCTAAAGGCAACTTCTATCTCCAAGCCTTTGCTGACTTAGATTATAGAGGATGCAAGCTCGACAAAAGAAGCACTTCTGGTAGCTGTCAATTCTTAGGAGACAGATTGGTTAGTTGGACTTCAAAGAAACAAACATGTGTTTCAACCTCTACTGTTGAAGCTGACTATGTTGTTGCCGCCAGTTGTTGTTCTCAAGTTCTCTGGATGCAAACACAACTGATAGATTATGGATTCAAAATGCAACAGATGCTCATCTATTGTGACTCTAAGAGTGCAATTGCAATCTCTCACAATCCAGTCAACCACTCAATGACCAAACACATTGATATTAGGTATCACTTCCTAAAAGATAATATTCAGAAAAGTCATATTGAGCTTCCTTTTGTTCCTACAGATGAAGAGAATGCAGATGTGTTCACAAAAGCTGATTTAGGCCCATAATGGGTTTTGGGCCTCAGTTAGGAGTTGGGCCATATTGGGCTTTTGGCGCCATGGGTTGGGCCCCGGTTTTTGGGCCAAGTGAGAAAAAGGTAAAATTGTCTTTCACCCTGGAGTTGGACATATGAATGAGATTCCTAGTTATGGGTTATGGCCCAAATATTAATTGGGATTTTATGTGATTGATTAGCGCGGGGATTATCCGGATCAACAGTTCGAGCGTCTATATGATTTTCAGCGGTTTAAGGTGAGTCTCCTCACTGTGCTTGACGGGTCGAAGGCACCAATGTCGGCCCATGGTTTATTATGATTAGGGTGCTAGTTGTATGTGTGACTCTTGTGTGTGTAGTATGTGATATGTATACCGGACAGGGTCTGATGCCATGCGAGGCCTGATGTGTGTATTATATGCTAATTGTCTTAGTGATTATTGCATGTGTTTATGTGTCTATATGTATACTGGGCGGGGTCCGATGCCAGGCGGGGCCTAATGAATGTGATGAGGCGGGATCCATATCATATTATTGACAGATCTGTTCCGAGCGGGGCCCAATGTCGGGCAAGGCCCGATGTCGGGCGGGGCCTGATGGTTATTGGGCATGGCCCATTGTATGCTTGATATGTATCGTATGCAGTATTTTGGGGAACTCACTACACTTTGTGCTTACGGTTTTCAGTGTATGTTTCAGGTACTTCCGGATCGAAGGGGAAGAGCTCGGGATGATCGCATCGCACACACCATGTTGTTCCGCATTTTATTTGACTATGATGTATTTGGATGATTTTTGACATACCTTGATTTCATTATGGTTTTATGAAAACGTTTTGGATGATGATTTTATTATTATAAAAATTCAAATTTTTGGTCTTAAATTTTGGGACGTTACAGACTGAATCTTCATCTTCTTCACAGTTTTGATCTTCATCTTCATTTGTTTCTTAAATTTCCTCATCCTCAATCCAGTCGAAGATAGGTTCATTATGGTGGTCCACATACACATTCATTCTCTTCCCATTAACATATGCCATATCCACAAATTCTTTGTAGTCACCATTATTGTTCAATATACGAATGCCCTGACTCAACGAATCTTGTGGAAGGCAGAAGTACACATCTTTGCATCTCATTCTAGTGAGCCTCTCAAGGAAATCAATGAACTCTAAGTACCCAAACCCACTAAAATCAATGTCTCGAACGGATGCTCTGTCAGGATCAAAGTAGACTAAAGGATTTGGTGCAAACATCGCATTGGAATGGACGTCCACCATAATGAAGTTACGGTCGCTTCGAGTTGATGCATATGCCATTCTTTAGAGACGAAAGAGGGATATGAAGAATTGGTGCCCTAATCGAGTTTACAGACCAAATGTGAAGTCGACTATTTTAATGAGGGGGATATCCACATCATTTCCATGTAATGATTTTTTTATACGTATTCAAATACAAACTTGTGAAACTGTCTATAGCCGACCATACTTGTATAATGTATATGTTTCAATAAGTTCAAGGATAAATATAAGATGAAAAATAATTTAATGACCGAATAAAAAAAACAAATCGAAGAAAAAATCACAAACAAACATACCGAGTACAACCCATTACAGACTAGACGACCATTTTCAAAAGCTATGGATTTTTAGTATTTTTTAAGAATACATGCGGTCATTTTTGGAAACTTCTTTTTGCCCTAAATCAAAATTAAGTATTTAAAAAAATGATTATTATGTGACCAAGTTTATTTATTTATATTTATTTATTATTATGGTAATTGAGGATTTATTAGATTATGTTTATCCTTAGTTGCGCTGTAAAAACTTGGGGACAAAGCGACGAAAGTGTATAAAGTTGAACGAACCCCAATAAGAATGAAGATGCATCAATCCATCCATAGTAAAATTAAGGGTATGATGCTGGAACAATCGGAATCCAAACCTTTCAGCAATTCCACGATGCCGTGTTCCAAATTGACAACCAAACTCAATCTTTCTAAATGCACTATCAACAATGGGATTTCACTGCAAGTCGCCGATGATGATTCTGCCGTCGAGGAGCATTTGGAGTGCTGGCCACCAACTACGGCGGTGGTTGATAGATTGGTACTCCAATTGAAGGCTAAAGATGGCGACATGGAAGCGAATTGGGAAAAGACAATACTCAATTTCAAGAAAGAGCTTGATGCCGAGGAGGAACAATTGAAACCGAAGTTGACTTTAACATCGGATGTAGTCGATAATAGCGAAGATGGTGATGGATTTCAGAGAAGAGATAGGGCTAGAGCTAAATTCTCCGTTCCGCTTTCACGTCGGGAGATGGAGAAAGACTTCGAGGATATGGGAGAGCGGCGGCTACCAAGGAAGCCGAAGAAGCGACCTAAATCTGTACAAAATCAATTGGATGTAAGTATTTCAGAGCCAACACTTTACAGGACCAAATTCGTTATGGATTTGATACGCATTTCATACTAATTCGTAGTTACTGAATTTAATATAACATCTAGCTACCGGTTCTTCATAAAATGTTGAGATTTCGTTGCTCATAAACTACAATCCATCATTCTTCTTATGAAATGTCAATCATCATAGATTATAATTGCAGTTCTGTAAGAACATTCACATAGTTTTAGGATCTACTATTGACTCAGTGGCTTGGGATTCTTCTGTATGATTGTCATCAACATCTAATAACTTTTGTTCCTTCAAATACCATTTGCAGACTCTATTTCCTGGCTTGTGGTTAACAGAGATAAATGCTGATCTTTATAGAGTTCCTGATACAAAAAAGGTACGCCATTGTTCATTTCAGAATCTTCCAAGTTCAGTTTATTTGTTTTCTGAATCTTATTTTCTTTCCTTCAAAGCAGAGGTAGTGATGACAAACATGTCCTGGAGCTTGAAGGATTTTTCCATAATTGTTGACAATTGCCCAAATAAACTGGAATACTTTACAATAACTGGGAAACATCATATGTAAGTATATGTATATTTTTTCTTGTTTAGAATCATACACTTTTGTATATTGTTTCTTTTTGGATATTTGTAGAAGGCATCTAATTTAAGTCCCCAATATTTTCCTAATCAGTTTTTGTAGATGAATATATATCCATTTGTTAATCTTGGACTTTAAAAAGTAAATCTTTTGCAATCCAAAGTCAAATAGTGACTCATTTTTTGGATGGATGTAGTAAATAACATTAGATATTTGTAAGAATTCAAGAACACATAGTCTTGAAACTAATACTTGTCTACTTTTCTAAAAAAAGACTAATATGCCCCCATAACAAATTCAGGAAACACACATATATATAGTTAAGGTTATGAAACCTGGAAATTCCCATTTCTCATCTAATCCCATACTCTTATGATTTTGGGTGCAGGGCATTTTTGTAATTTGCTAAAGGGTTTGCAATGATCTTATCTTAACATCATCACATCCTTTAAATGGTCTTTTTAGTTTTTATTGATCAAAGTTTCATATGCATGACTCTTTTGCAGTTGATAGGAGCATAAAAAATTGACAACTTTTGTGTCCCTTCAGTAAACCTCACTACATGTATAGCAATATGATGGTGGATTTTGGAGAGGGCCAAGGGCAAAATGGTCAAATGGAACCGGTCTTTTTTCCAGGCTTCTCATCCATCATTTATGAATTTCTTTTGATTCTTTCAATACTTTTGAAGTGATGTTATAATTTGTAGATATTAGTAAATTCTAATTAGGTTTTTAATTTTGTGAAAAACCCTTGAAAATTTTATGTTTTTTCATTTGAAAAAGCTTCAAATTTAGAATTGAACTAAAAGCAAGATTACATATTATTTTATAGACAACTCAGCGTGACTTTTTGCAAGTGTATATGAATATGTTCTATTTACTTACAGTAGAATATATTGACACTAGAAATATCACTAAGAATGGGAATATCGGTTATTCTTTGGGGAAATTAGGGTTAGTGCTAATTTATGCATCAACAATCCAAATAAGAACAATTTGCATTAAAGTAATTAAAGTTAGATAAATGCCCTTATGAAAAATTGTGTACTCCATAGAAAGAAAGAAACCACCAAAACAACCACGAAGATGAACACATGAAGAAGCTTCACCCACCACCAAAGAGAGCACCAAAAACCGTCGCCAACACTACTAGAGTTAGGCTGGAGGGAATGGTGTCATGTTTGTTACAGTTCACGGAGGCGCCACGTAAGATTTGCCACACTGCTTCAAGATTTTGCCATTTACAGGGCCTGTATTGCCCTCTTTGCCATGCTTAATTTTTTTTTAAATTTCATTTAAACTAAAAAAAAACAATATGCACATAATATTTTAATAAACTCTTAAATTTCATTAATTAGAAATTGGTAGACAATAACATTAACTAGAAATAGGTAGACAATAAGTTTAAAAAATATAACATACTTGAAATTAAAATAACAACATAACTAGAAATTAAAGCATACAATACAACTACAAATTAAAACACACAAATCACTAGAACTTAACTAACAACGAGCTTAAAGATTGTCATTTAATACTCCTCATAATTTGCTAAAACTCAATAAGGCGAAAATGTTTGTCAGCTTCAACATGGTAAGCCTCAAGAACATTCTCTAGCAAAGTATTTTCATTTTTACAATTTTCAGCTTCATGCATCACCCTACAAAATACATTGCTAAACTGAATTGAAAGTGCATTTGCATGTCTCCATTTGGAGAAGATTTGATCTTTACTTCGAGGTAAAAGGATTTGACAGTTTTATTATTCGGCGACTCTCCCTCAAAAAGTAGTCGTAGGGAGGTTAATGTGGATTAAGTCTTCTGTTACATCAACCCATAAACGAGCCAGTAACATCTCTTCTTCAGGGAACCAAATGCGAGTCATTTTTAGTGAGGAGATTTGAAAAAAATGGAAAATAAGAGGATTTGGAAAGTAGATTGAAAAAGATTTGAATGTGGTGATGAATAAGATTGATTTTTGTATTTATAGTGAAAGATAAAGTGTTTAAAAATTTGAAAATTTGAAAAAAAAACAGTTATATATTGAAAAGGAGGTATATTTTAAAAAAATGGGTTGTTTTTTGAAAATGAGAAAGTGGAATAAATGGTATATCTATATATATATCTATATATCTATATATATATATATATCTATATATATATATATATATATATATATCTCTCATCGATAGAAATCTACTGAGTTTCCTCGCCGAGCCAATGTCGCCGAACGCACGAGCCAGTGTTTGCCAAAGTCCGCCGAACTATGTTCATGTCCACTCCATCGAGTCTTAGAGATGGTAACAATGACAAGTACATCAGGCCCACCCCAACATGGAATGGGGTTTTCAACTGAATCGGAGATTTTTCTCCTTACAAGTTTATGAATAAAACAATATAAATTGAAACTCTAAATCCTGAATGTCTCCGATCATAAACAATGACATTCAAGTTACAATTTACAATCACTTTTTAAAATAAAACATATAAAAAAGTCTTCAAACATAAACAAAACCTCTAAACATCAACTTTTATTTCCAACTTTAGCATCAAATCGTCAAATATCACCTACCAACAAAATGAAAACAAATTTATAAAAAAGTACATGATAAAAAGTAAAAACTACAAATTATTCAATTATAAAATAATTGGTTTCAATTTCATTATTATCTTCAAATTTCAACCTCCGAATCGTAATGTTCAAAAATAGTTAGCATGATTATGTCACACTTATTTAGATCTAAATATAACAAAACAAAGTTATTAATAAGTTAAAAACATATAGAAATAATAATAAAATGTTAACATTTTCTCACAACGAACTTTGTGAACACATTTGAGCTTCTATTGTATTTGAATTAAGTTGGTTTTGATATGGACTTATCAATCTTCTAGTAGCACTAAATGCGGATTTAGAAGCAATGATAGAGACAAAATTAAGCAGTATTATCTTTGCCATTGCTTGCAATATATGATACTTTGTTTCCCTTGATTTTCACCACATCAAAATATCAAAGTCTTGAGATCAGGGCTCAACCGTTCCTCTAAATAACGATAAAGTTTAGTTTTCAAAATCGATCGTGGAACTCTACTCTTGGTCTTCACATAGTTTTCCCAAGTCTAAAAATTTTCATCACAAGCCATTCATTTTGGAAGCCAACCCCATATAATCACCACCCTATATGAACTTTTCATAAATTTCTCTTGGTATTCCTTCACCAAATCATCATAATTTTTTTTATTATACTAATTTGATCCACACAATCATTTAGATAAAGAAGTTGCAAACAAAATTCTATCATTTCCATTTTGTATTGTGGA